AGGATGGAGCCTAAAATTGATTAACACTACATCAGTTTAAATGCAAAGAAAATAATAAAATGGATACATATTATAGTCAAGTTTTGAGAGTTGTGACACACGGTTTGATTTTTGCTTATATTTTTCATAAAAAAAGAGGATTCTCCCAGTCCACACAAAATAGAACATAGCAAAATATTCAATACAGAGGAAAAAATAGTGAGGTCAGAAGGTCATGCTGGAAACAATAATTAACTTAGAGAGAAAAGTTAAATCTGGAAAGAGAAAACCACCAAGACTTGGAAAGAGCCTATTCAGAGTTTTAGCATCATAATGAGAGTGCCAAGACCGGTTTGCTTTTTTGGAAAGATGTTATAACTACATATGTAATGAGTTATTTTCTTACCTGTTTTTATGATTTGTTCTTTGGGGACTTTTGATGATTTTTCTTGCATAAAACACATTGCTCACATTTAGACATACATAAATGTTCAGTCTTCAAAGGATTTTGTATTAATCTAAAAAGAATAAACCTGTATTTTGGGTACGTACATAAAAAGAGGCCATCTTTGAAGAAATTTCACTAATGTTTGAGGTGAGTGTTTTTGAAACTTAGTGTTCATCAGAATCACTTAGAGAGCTTGTAAAACCTGGATTGTGAGTCGCATCTCCATAATTTCTGATTCAAGAGTTCTGGGATTGAGGTTGATTATTTGCATTTTTATCAAGCTCCCAGCTGCTGCTGCCGTTGCTGCTGTTAGCTCTCTGGGAATCACTTTGAGATCAAATGCTTTATATTTGATAATTGATGATAAAATAGTGAAAACAAAGTACGTACTTGTAAACCTTCTATTGATGCATATAGGTGATACTGAAAACATTCATGTAGCCACTGCCCAGTCAGGACATACATTGGTCAGGGTCCACAAGGTGGACCTTTGTACATAACTCAGTATTAGATGTGAGTGATCACATGCAACATACAAACTGCAGTAGAAAGATAGGCCAAAAAGTTAAACTTTTTTCCAGGAGCAATTTTTTAATACTTGTCAAAATATAAATATACAAAAATGAGTTTGGGAAACTATATCATGTCTTATCATTTCAGTATTGTTTATCACCAAGAAAATAAACTAAAATTTAAAAAATAAGATATCTAACTATATTATATCACATACTAACACTACCCTGTTATTTTTGAAATCCTATGATCATGAGAATTAATTAGGTATGATAACCAGATATGTATGTACACTATAAAGTTCCTAGCTTAAAAAGAAAGTTTAAGAGACTATATATAAGAGGTATAGAATAAAAAAAGTACCGGTGCAAACGGGATATGTTTGAACATTAAATTTCCAGTGAGTTTTATAAGGTAACAGTGACTCATAAAGAAGCCTTTTACTTAGTTGAGTTAAATAAATGTATGTCAGCGTATCAAAAGGATGAAACCTGTTCTCCAAAGTTAGTCATCGAACAACTATTTTATTTGAAACTTTATTTTCATTTAAACTGGAAACCATTTTGAATTGGAAGGTTAAAATTTGAAGACTAAAATTTTGAATCCTGATGACTCGGGTATGGTGATGCCATTTCTAAAGGTGTCACTTTGTTCTAAGACATGAGTGTGCATATTTTTAGTGTTAGCACTTGTCTCTGGGGAGATACTTGTTGAATTTCATGGGCTCATTTTCTATTACAGCATAGTACATTTATTATTGAAAAGTAAGTGGTTTAAACCTAATTCTTACTGTTCTGCTCATATGTATATATCCTACAGCCATTTAAATATGTTTTATTTTAAAATACAGAATTCTGAAAGGTGCTGAATTTTAGAAATACCACTGTTATGGAGTAGCACATGTTTAACCTTGAAATCACAGTGTGAAAAGTAACTGCTTCTGTCTGATTATTCCCAAATTTATAGAAATGACCTGTTTTAGAGCCCAGTGGATACATAGGAGATAGCCTCAGGGGAATGTGGTGTACTGTGTTATATTTGGCCCTACTGTCCAAAAGAGAAGAAGGTGAGGTCCAAGAGACACCTCGGGACAATTGCTACTGTAAAAAACCTCCCAGACTTTACACTTAATTTTGTCTACAGTTACAGGAAGAACAGATGTGGCTGAAAAATCTACCCAGTTCCAAAGGAATCAGGAAATCTATCTGCTTCCTTTTACCTATATACCTATATATATGCCTCTCTCTCTCTCTATATATATATATATATACACCTATATAACTGTATGCCTATATATATATATATATATATATATACCTGTATATTCATATTCTAAATTAAGATGGAGTGAAAGTTAGGGGACCAGCACACATAGGCTGGGAAAACTATATTCATACCTCCCAAGAGCAGGCCGATACACTTGGCAAACATTCAGTTAAAGTACATGGCAAAACAGATAGGAAATATTCAAAGGGTTATAACGGGTTATCTACCAACTTGGGGCCCTCCCTGGTGGCACAACATTTTAAAGTGCAGCACTATGATGCTGTCCCCAGTTACCTCAGCATGAGTTTGATCCCCAGACTGGGCGGTGACCCACATGGCTCTGCAGACATCTCCTGTCTCGCCACTGCTCCCCTCAACAGTGTATTTCATCCATCTTCCTTTTCTGCTCCCCATTCTGTCTCTGGTGAATCCTCTCACCACCCCTACACCTCTGGCCTGTACCCCAATTCTGTGTGCATAAGTAAATAATCTTAAAAAAAAAAAAAAGATCCCAACTTGTATGTTTACCTCCTCCCCCAACAAACCTGTACCAGGCAGCAGCAGCATCACAGTGATGCTCAGTGCTAACCTCCCTCTGTGTGCCATTATTTTCCTAAATTCTACCTGTCATCGTTTCTCCTTACCATTCTGGACCTTGATAGCACTAGACTTTTTTGTTTTAAATTTTCAGGGTGTTTAGTGTCTTTTCAAAAACAGTTCACTTTTAATTAGATCATTATCATCAGTGTGATTCAGGATTATTATTCAATGAACAAGTGAGTATATATATTTTTTGTTATTTTGTTTTGTTTTGCTTTTTGATATATCAGCACACCTAGCAAACAAGGTCTACCTTTGCATAGCTTCCTCTGCACAGCTCCTTGAGACATTTTTCTTTTTGGAAGCTCTGCATCTTAGCTGCACCTGTACAGAGTATTTTAGGTGTGTATGTACTTTCTTAATATGTGCTTCTTTTAGAGTAGGTTTCTTAATATCCAAAATAGTGACAGTCCCCCAACCCTATGCTATATTGATACAATGTTTTACATGATTTGAAGTATCGCTGCGAATGCGGATTTGCTAGGGACCTTAAATTGTGTATGTTGGAAGTGTTTTGTGCAGATAGCACTGTTAATCTAAATCCTGTTTTTCTATTGGTTATATATAAAGCATTCACTTCTGCACCGCAAATAAGAATGCTGACAGCAAGTATTGAAGAAGTTTGTTTTCAGGGAAAATATGTAACCAGTTACATAGACAAGATAATCAACTGCATTGTGGTTTAGTTGAATATAACATACTGTGTCAAAAAGATAAACGAAGGACTTGATTTGTTGAAAAAGAGAATTGCACAGGTAACAGAAAAGGACCACAGCTCAATCCATCAAATAAACATATCCGTGTGGAATCAACCAACCCAATCTATCTGTGGTTCTTCAATTAAATACAGCAAGCCTTAACTTCATATTTTGATTCACACTGCGTCTTTTGATGTTATGTGTTGTTGGAAAAGTTGTAATTGATGCATGAGTGTCCTCTCTGTTCAGACTGTTTCTAATACTAAATTTCCTTGTCCAGTGTTCTTTCAATAAGGGTACCTACTTTTTTGACGATACTTAAACAGAATGATGCAAATGATGGCCCAAGTTTTTTCTCTAGTTATAAAAAGATGTACAGCAACACCCTACCTGCCACAGTGGTCATGCTGCAGAGGACAACATGATTGTTATTTTTCTGGCTAAATGGAACATTGACTGTGGACAAGCCCTGGGAGTAATGGGTAATTTAGTAGGTGTAGTCCTCTGCTGACATTTCTTCTTTGTGAGATAGGATTTTTAAAGGTTTTAAGCTAGCAAATGTTGTGGTCTAAGAAGCTCCCACCTATAGCCATCTAAGCCATGAAGACTTTTATTCTCCTAATAAATAAATATGGACAAATACAGATTTCTTTGAGATGATTTCCATCTCTACTTATGAGGCTCTCCAATAGCGGCCCTCAAAAAATAGAGTTAAGAGAAACTAGGGAAAATATGTTATTTTTATGTTTTTTTTTGTTTTGTTTTGTTTTTTAATAATCTCACAAGGCACAGGCAAAAAAAAAAAATATATTGACCCCATTAAGTAAATGCCTCTGTGCCATGTCACAATGAATCAGGCCATGAAAGAGCCACATATTGAAATATTGCTACTACCTCCAACTTCTCAGACTACCCTCTGTAGGTAGCAAAGAGAAAGAAAGAATCAGAAAATTTCTCTGCTTCCATATATTCCATTTGGACCCAGGTAGTACATTTGCTTTTGAACTCTCAAGCTTCACTCTGTCTCCAGGATGCCTACTTCCCTTGTTAGAGGCAAACTTTTCCTAGTCGACACCTGTTGGGGACTGTATTAACAAGACATTGTTGAAAGAGAAAGCATATTTTCTGAGCCAAGAAGGTGAGAGATACTCGTTTCTAGGGCTCTTGTTAATCTTTGGGAGCCCAGCATCTTCTGTGGCAGAACAAAGGGAATACAGGTGTAAATTCTTACTTTTTTTCCACTACACAAATAAATCGTCGTTGACGTGTTAGTGTTCTTTGAAGAGAAGCAATAGAATATCCCATCCAGAGTTTTTAGGATTTGATTCCCATTACTTTCCAGCATCATTCTAAAATCAGTCCCCCCTGTTTGGCCATGGCCAGAATTAGCTTGAATGGTACCTATTATTGAAAGGGAGTCTGTATTTGCCGTAATACAGAGAATGCCAGTTTAGAAATGAGCCTGATTGCATGGTTCATTTTGTTCTCCTTTGTAGAGCCAGGCTGCGGCCCACTACAAAGGCACGAAACATGCCAAGAAGCTCAAAGCACTGGAAGCCATGAAAAATAAGCAGAAATCTGTCACTGCCCAGGACAGCGCCAAGACTACCTTCACCTCCATCACTACCAATACCATCAATACCAGCTCTGACAGAACAGGTTAAGCGACGATCTTTGTTGTTGGTCCATGTTGTCAGCCTTGTCACTGTTGTCTGGGTCTCTTTCCCGTGTCGAAACCCTTGTCTGTGTCCTTGCGTCCCTGCCACATTGATTCATGCTTGATCCATCTTTCTGTACAATGGTAACTGTGTCCCCTCATTTTTCTGATGCCTATAAAAGATTAAGATAATCCTTAGTCATCTTGCACATTTTGCCCTGGACCCCCCCCATCCGTGGCTCTTGTAGAAAGCATGAGAGTCATAAAGACACGTGAAGCCATGGCCCCGGCAACCCCTTTTGAGAAATGAACCTTCTTGTTGTATTTTGTTTGCATCTTGTATGCAGCATCTTAGCCTATAAACTGCCTGGCAGATTTGATTTAACTGTGAGTACCTAGCAACATATGCCAAATGAATCGAGAAGGCCCCAAAATGGGCATTCTTATTGACAGCATTTATTCTCATAAATCCCAAACATTGCATTCTTTTAAGTAGTGACTGTGAGATTCGGGGCTTGTTATGGCCGGGTAACCTTCCTTCCGCCTATACAGGTAAGTGTTATTGATACCAATTATTCTTTTTAAAAGCATCTTCACAGTAAAATAATGGCCTCTGCAGGGCCTCTGGGAATAGTTCCTGCAAACAACCCATTTATCCACAACAGAGGAAGCCAGTGGGAATTCCCTAAGCTGTTTATTTATTTACTTTTTTTTTTTTAATATAAGGCCCTTGACCCACAAATTTACATAAAAAGTCCCTTGTGATTCATGAGAATACACTAGTAGGTGTTGTTTTCTCTATAAATGGCAATGGTCAGGAAGATCAGGTTCACCATCAATGTAATGTCTTCACTAGCAGAAAATCTTCTGACTGTGACTGAGAACAACTTGATTATATGTGGGGGTGTCTATTAGACACGTATGTGTTCCTCAGAAAGTCTATTGGGAGGCTCGTTCCTTTTGGGCACTCAGATAGGTGTAGTAGATACTTTGCTCCCTCTCAGTGCTCTCTGAGACTGAAAGCATCTGTTAGCCTGCACCAGGCACTTTGTTTAGCACAGTGTCGAGGCTGAGGAAAATGCTAAAAATGAGGACTGCTGCATTTTCTCTCATGCGTGTGGGTCTCTGATCCATCCAACTTTGTGTTATGACATACTCAATGGAAAGGAAGAAGTGCTTGTCATGTTCACCACTTTGGTATCCAGAGCTAGAACTGGATTATACCTCTTGTTAGTGTAAATGTAAAATCTTTACAGGGGAAGCATCCATCTCTTTTCTGAGATTTAAAAACTCATTTTGGGGGCTTTAAAAAAAATGATCACTGATGAGGCAAATGAGTGTAATTTCTGCTCCCAGAACTCTTCAGTTTGGGCCACAAACTGAGATCCCTAAAGCCACACTTTCAGTGAAGAAATCTTTCTCTCTCATTTTTTTTTTTTTCAAAAACATGGTAGCCTGAAGACCAAAGAAAAGAGTTATATGTAAATGATTTGAGATTAATGCAAAAAGTTTTTATTTTAAGAGCTTGCTTGCTTTTCTACTCAAAGACATTTTTAATCTAAAAGGGTTACTTTGACTCCTCTATAAAATACAAAGATCCCTATTACTATTATGTTATGGATGCAGATATATAAGTATTTGGTGGTCTGGGAAAGACTTCCAGTGCATTCCAGTGTGAATACAAACCTCCATCTCTAAACTTAGTGACTGCAGTGCAAAGTGTCTCCATTATCAAAATTCTGTCCTTTTAGACATTGAATGGAAGCAAATTTGGGGTTGAATTGTGGAAGAAAATCTTAATAACATCAACATATTCCTAGTGGAAATGCCAGACCTAATGATCATTATGTGATAAAATGGTGACATACCTTTTGAAGCTAGAGCTGGAGGAAATTCCAGGAACATATACAGAGTAATAATAGCTAATAATAATAATCAGTACAAATATCTGAAAGCCAAAAGACAAGTTAACAGTTTTCAAGAAGCTCATTGTTTCCCTAATCTACTGGAAAATATAGAGTAGGAAAAAGAAAAAAGAAAAGGACATAGATGTTTGAAAAACTAAGATTCTAGCACACTCACCAGATTAGTTAAGCCAAGTTATATCCTTAAACTGGGTTTGTGACAAAACCACTAATGAAAATTAGTCCAGTAAACTATCATTTCAGACTTGCTCAGTACGGTGTGCAATATATCAGAGGTTGACAAAATGATTATTTATCATTTTATTGCTGTTTGCTTCCTCATACTAACTAGGAAAAAATATAGCTCTGAAGATAAAGGAGTCTCTAACTTAGTTTCCCAGAAGAGTTCAATACTTGGGGACAGACATAGAAAGAGATGAGTCTATAATCAAGAATTATGTATTATTTTAATAAGAAAAATAACTGCTGCTTAATACACAGGTTGTTTTGTGAGTTGTGAACTTATCCATACATAAAAGATAAAGATAAATTGCATTGTATTAATTTTACCAAATCACTTTTAATAAAAGTAATCAATCTATACAAAAAATGTATTGCTTTAAGAAAATGATACATATACAGTGATTTGATAGATGTAAACCTTAATAGAAAGTCATCATAGCAATAGCAAAAGGGCTGTAATTGAGGTGCAGTTGAATTAGAAAATTAATTTGGGGTTTTTCCTGGGATTCTTTGTAATACAAGAAATAAAATATTCATAAAAAGCAAATTTTCACTGAAAATCTTTATGATCAAACAATTTTGACAAATAATTCCTCTTAAATTTCTGAGTCATGTTTTATGGACTCTAATTGCTGCCTTGGGTTAATAAATATGTCTATATAATCTTTGGAGTAAGCCCTTATTCACTAATTCTATGATCTGGCTATTTCTTTTCATTAATTTTGTCAGTCTACATGCTGGAATGGTGAGTAAAAGACGGTATTCAGTGATTAACCACCTTCTGCTGCACAAAGCCTGACATCCCTCACAAAGGCAAAAAGGCACTCCTAAATATGAAAGCACAGTTTTAATTATGATTTAATGAAAATTCTTAAGTTGGGAGACATGCAAAGTGAATTTTACAGTCTAAAATATATTGGACATAGTGAACATTTGGCCTAGGAGAGTGGCTGATATATGTTACAGACTGTGTAATAGGAAAAACATACCCACAGATGATCAGAATAATTTTGTCTAAACTGACTTCTTTTTAAAAGATTTATTTATTTATGCATACAGAACTGGGGTACAGGCCAGAGTGTAGGGGCAGTGAGAAGATTCACCAGAGACAGAGTAGGAAACAGAACAGACTGACTGACGAAGTACACTGCTGAGGGGAGCAGTGGGCGGGTCAGGAGAGGTCTGCCGCGTCATGTGGTCACCTCCGGGGCAGGCAGGGATCGAACTCATGCGGAAGTGGCTTTAGCTTCTCAGTGCAGTGCTTTAACCTGCTGCACCACCAAGGAGGGCCTAATCTGACATTTTTAATGAACCTTTTGTCTGTAGTAAAAGCAATGACACCAATTAAGAAATTATGCTTAAAGTAACCTGATAAATGTAACTCAGTTAACCTTTTTTCCCTAGAAAATGACAAATTCAGAATTATCAGCTTAATTCTCATGCATGGTAAATGATCCTCTGATTTTTCTTCCCTTTTTGCAGTCTTGTACATTTCAGTCTACTGTGTAGACTGGGGAAGGGCGTAATGCAGTCGAAAACAACCTCCAAACCCCTGTGACTTTACATCTAATCACGCTATGTATCAGCTGTGCTTTTTTTTTTTTTTCTTTATGTTTAACCCTACAGCAACCTTAAGGAAACAGTCATTAAGTCACTAGCTGGTCATTACCAACTCAATGTCCAAAAGAAAAAGGATCGTGAATCAAAGCTTATTTAAACTTTTTAAGGACAGGTGACATATAGCATTCCTCTTACTTTTCATTGGCAAATGGCATGATCAAATTTGGCTATCATGAGCAGGAAAGTACTCTCTTCCAGGCACAAAAAACAAACATGCTGTTAAGCAAGAAGACCACCTTCCGCCATGACTTCAATTCTTACTTTTGCTTTGTGTGTCTCAATGTTGCAGCCTTCTACTTCTTTTAAAACCTGACCTAGTTTTCTATGGCTTTTTCGTCACTCCCTCAAAGAGCTTGTCAGGCCCAGTTTTAACTTTTCAGAAAAGTTAAGTAGACCTCAACTTGACCATCATTCCCAGCTTTCTCTGCGTTCTGTCTTTTCTGGCATTATTTTTGGTCCTGACGCACAGACTGCAAACCTCCCAGCTTCCACTGTTGCATCTCACTCTCTCCATTGCTCCGCTGTTGGGATCTGTTCATTGGGTTTCCAGAAGTCGTTTTCTCACTTTCACATGTGGTGGCTTATTTCCTGACCTCTGAGACCTGTGTTGCCCACACAGTTGCCCTTCTCTCCAGGCCGTCTAACTGCCTCCCTCCTTACCTCTAGAGAATCACAGCCTCCAGTCTACTACTCTGTACCCCCAGCACAGAGATCATCCTACCGTCCCATCAGAAACCTGCTGTGTCTTTATGCTGGACCTCATGGCTTTCAGTGGTTTGCTCACAGCCTACCTTTCCAAATTTCTTTTCTCTTGCTCATCTGTAATAATTTAGGCTCAGAGCACACCTTGTTTTTCCATCTTTGTCTCTTAGATTGTTCTTCTAAACTTTTACAAATATATAATTTTTTTTATTCTCTCTCTTGCCTATGAAGTCCACAGAAACCCATACTTTTCTAAATGTCCCTATTGTGTCTGGTTAAAAGTGTAATTTTAATGTTTTTATCTTCTCCTATTACTGCTAGATGACAGTTTCACTGAGAATGCATAGTTGATCATTTTATTTATTTATTTCTTATAGAACATTCTGTCTGCTGTTTATAGGGGACCCATTGCCAGGCAAAGCTGAGCACATATGCACATACCCTTGATATAAAAAAAGGGTAAATACATAGTAGTTTTAAAATTTGAAGTGAAAATTATATGTATGTGTTCTTGAATTGAAATCTGACAGAGC